CTAGCAAGGACAAAGCACTCTGTACAAGTAATGAATGAGCACCTTATTGAAGCCAACATGCACTGACACTTTCTACATGCTTCCATGTAGCACTCAGGTCCTAGGAGGGTGCCCATGGAGCAGATATATCCTAGTTAGGGTTACTACTGCTGTGACGAAACGCCATGACCTAAGAAACAACTTGGGGAGGAAGCGTTTATTTCAGCTTACACTGAGGGAAGCCAGGGCAGGAACTCAGATAGGTCTGAACCTAGAGGCAGGAGCTGATGCAGAGGCCACAGAGGAGTGCTGCTTACTGGCTTGCTCCTCATGGCTTGCACAGTCTGCTTTCTTATAGAACCCAGGACCATGAGCCCACAGTGGGCTGGGCCCTCCTACATTAATCACTAATTAAGAAAATGCTCAACAGCAGTGATTCTCAACCTTCCTAACTCTACAACCCTTTAATACAGTTCCTCATGTTGTGCTGACCCCAACCATAAATTCCACTGCTACTACATAACTGTAATTTTCTTACTGTTACGAATCATAAGTATCTGATATGCAGGATGTCAGATATGCAACCCCCAAAGGAGTTGTAACCCACATGGTGAGAACTGCTACTCTACAGCCCAGTCTTTGGAAGGCATTTATCAGTTGCAGTTCCCTCCTCTCAGATGACTCTAGCTTGTGTCAAGATGACACAAAATTAGCCAGCACAGGATATTTGATCCTATTTTATGGACTAGTAGGCTGAGGCTTAAAGAAGCAGAGTGGCTTTCCTAAATGTCACAGCTGGTGATCGATAAACAAGGATCAAATCAAGGCCTTTTCAAACTCAGGAGCCTACACTCACACCCTACCTTCCACTACCACTCCACAAAGCCCACACTCAGACCCAACCTTCTGCTACTACTACACAGAGCCTCAAGTCTAAGGCCCATATAAGAAACAAGGAGCAGAGCTGACACAATTACTCACCCTGCAAAGGTGCTTGCTGTACAAACATAGGGACCTGAGCTTGATCCCCAGGAATCCACATAAAGGTGGAAGAAGAAAACTGACTCCACAGATTTTTCCTCTGACCTCCACATGTACACTGTAACACTAGTATCCCACCCCCATACACACAATAATAATCATTTTTAAAAAGAAACAAGCATACAGGGTGCTACCAACAATGAACTAAGAACCTGAACACACACAGTCTAACATGGGAGCAGTCAACCTGCCCCCCCCCCACTTGTGTTTTCATCCACAGATGAGATCTGAATAATATAGATCTGAGGACGGATACATCCAAACTCTGAATTCTGATTCTCCTTGTGTTTCTGAAATGAATTAATTTAAGTGTCATTTCCTTGATTTATCTAATTCAATTACATTAAGATACAAAAACCTACTAGAAGGCCTAAAGATACCCTGGCCCCCTATTAATATCACCCTCCTATGAACAAATGGCATTCTCTCCAGCGTTTAGTCATTCGTTTTTTTTAGGTTGACTGCAGCAGTCTATATTATTGGCCTCTACTGGTTATTAAACCATCCTTTTACTTTACTGGCATGTCTGTCCTCTATTAAACTAATATAAACAAAATTAGAGGTGCTGCTTCAATATCTGTTGGTTAAATGAAAACTGAACAGAATAATAGACACTTAGCAACTGTTCAAAAACTACATGTTGAGTATGCAGAAAATATTTTTTCTTTATTTTACTTTTAGGGACAGGGTCTCCCAATGTAAGCCCTGGCTGGCCTACAGCTCACTACACATGGACCATGCTAGCCTCAAACTTATGGTAATCCTCCTGCCTCTACCTCTTGAGTGCTGGGATTCAGGCATGCATCACTATGCATAGCCTTTTTTTTTTTTTTTTTTTTTTTTTTTTTTTAAACCCAACTTTTTAAAAACTCAAACTCCAAAATGGATTTTGAAAAATTTTCCAAAATTAATATTTTGTTTTAGACTACCATAGATTTTTAATTACTTCAACTTTCTTATGTGTACCATAAAGGATACTGACCTTCCATAACGCCATTCACTAGGCCTACCTTAAGCCCTAGAATAAAGCAGGAGCTCCAAGAGGACCCATGAACTGAATTCAGCAAAGATTTTTACCACAGTCGGTAAAATAGAGTAAGCCATTGTACTAGTATCATCTAGGAGATTCTATCCCGAAATGATTTTTCATGGCATGGCTCAAAGGAGATGTTTAAAAAAGTGTTCCTAACACCAACAGTGTGGGAAAGAAACAGTGAGAAACAACATCCAAGAGATGTGAGGACAACAGCCTATAAACCCAGTGGTCAGGAGTTCAAGGCCAGTTTTTACTACAAGAGTTTCAAAAACCAAACACACAAACCAACATCAAGTAGGAGACAACTAAGGACAGTGGATAACAAATGTCAAAACAAGATTTAAAAAGAAAAGTAACAACAAGGTAACAGAGTTAAGAATTCTGAGAACTTTGTAAATAAGGGTATGGAAAAAAAGATTTCAAAAGTCACTTCTACATAAAATGAAGCAAAGGAAGCAGATATCAGGGTTACTCTGAGACACAGAAGGGTAGCTAGCTACAAATTGAAAGATAAAGAGTCAGAGTCACTGACAGTGGTGTGACAGTCACCACAAATGAAGAAACTTGGTAAAACAGAAGCCAACAAACAGAACCTTCCTTAGACATATATTCTCCATCCTTTAAAGCCTTTTATAGATTTGGATCATTGTCCTGAATGCATCCACTCACAGAAAACAGAAACCTTAATCATTTCCTACAATGACTTATCTTGAAAACTATTTTGTGCTTAGAATTATCACAGCAACCTTATGCCTGGCAGAAGAGGAAGGAGTCATGGGAACATTATATATCACAAAATAGCAGTCTGTGATAAGAATCGAGGATCTCACCCTCTCAAGAGACTAATATGAAAGGAACCATGAAATGGGTGACCAAATGTCAAATCAACAGCCACGTGATCAGATGCATAATAAACAGCATCAATGAATGATCAGAGCTAGGAAAGGCAAATGGGTTAGTCATATTTTACCTTTAAATATTTTTAAATGACACTCAATTGGCAAATTGTGAAATATTTCTTTTGGATATCCATAATTTAAGAATAGCCCAATTTTTCACTACACAGAAGTAAGTCCAATACTAAATCAAACAAAACTCCAGGTAGGGGTGGGGGAGGATGGGAACTTCCCTTAAAAATGCACCTGTTTTATCTGTAATCAAGCATTTGGGAGGCTGAGGTAGGAAGCTAGTAAGTTCAAGACCAGCTTTATATACTACATAGAGAGACCCTGCCTCAAAACAATGAGAAACAACCGAAGCAAATGAATGAAAAGAGGAGAGTAGAAAGGTACGGTCAAACTGAAGGATGACAATTTTCTCTGTATTTTTGCAAAATGTGTCCAGCTGCCAAGTATAAACAGGATCGATTCATTAAAATAATCCTTCATGAAGTCATGAGGTTAAACCATCAGAACAGGGGTGCTTTTTCTTCAATAAATATTGTAAGCCACAAAAGGACTAAAAAGAGGTAAACCCAACAGGCCAGAAGCCGCACTTGGGTGGCCACAAATTAGTTCCCATTTCACCTTTGTGACTACAAATTAAAGTTTGCACAGCATACGGTCGGGAGATTAAGAAACGACTAAGCAAGCTAACAGTTGGAAGAAATTACCTTGCTATGCCTCACAGTCATTAAGAGACCCAAAGTACTTTTAAAGGCAGAGTTCGGTCACCGCATTAATTTGAGAGCAGATAATCAACATCCAAACGGCCAGCCTGGCCATTCCTGCGCCAAGCCCTACGGAGGCTGGGCACCAGGCTCGGAGAAGGAAAGCAACTCACGTGAGGAACGGAATCCTCAAACAGCCGGGGTGACGCACTCCCAGCTTGGATAATGGCCCAGGGTCCACCTCTCTAACAGCAGATAGGTGGGGAGATGCACTATTGTTTCCAGATGTTTATTTTTAACTTCTGTTTGATGCCAGTTCCCCTAAACTGGGCCCGGTGGGAAGGGGGCCTCCGGCAGCGCCACTGGTGGCTCTGGGAGCAACCGAGTTTCGATAACAAAAACACCCCCTTTATCTTCTTATCGCAGCGAACGTGTACCCGGCGCCTC